AATGTAACTTCTGAAACCCATAGAAAAAGATGATTTTAGCTACCTTTTCCTCCTGTTTCCGCCTGTTTCCTCCTGCTGCTGCTGCTGCTCCTGCTCCTGCTCCTGCTACTCCGGTGGCAGGCTGCGACGCCTAAAATCGAACCACTCCCAGCAGCAAATCCCCATGGCAGTAAAGGACGGAAAAGCATCAAAATTGCACCCAAAAACTGCCTAATGTAACTTCTGAAACTACTTTTTCCTCCTGTTTCCTCCTGCTGCTGCTGCGCTCCTGCTGCAGCTACTCTTCTGAAACCTATAGAAAATTTGATTGTAGCTACCTTTTCCTCCTGTTTCCTGCTGCTGCTGCTGCTGCTGCTGCTGCTCCTGCTCCTGCTACTCCGGTGGCACGCTGCCACGCCTAAAATCGAACCACTCCCAGCAGCAAATCCCCATGGCAGTGAAGGACGGAAAAGCATCATAATTGCACCCAGAAACTGCCTAATGTAACTTCTGAAACCCATAGAAAAAGATGATTTTAGCTTCTTTTTTCTCCTGTTTCCTCCTGCTGCTGCTGCTGCTCCTGCTGCAGCTACTCGTCTGAAACCTATAGAAAAAAATGATTGTAGCTACCTTTTCCTCCTGTTTCCTGCTGCTGCTGCTGCTGCTTCTGCTCTGCCTAATGTAACTTCTGAAACCCATAGAAAAAGATGATTTTAGGTACTTTTTCCTCCTGTTTCCTCCTGCTGCTACTGCTGCTGCTCCTGCTGCAGCTACTCGTCTGAAACCTATAGAAAAAATGATTGTAGCTACCTTTTCCTCCTGTTTCCTGCTGCTGCTGCTGCTTCTTCTCCTGCTCCTGCTCCTGCTACTCCGGTGGCAGGCTGCGACGCCTAAAATCGAACCACTCCCAGCAGCAAATCCCCATGGCAGTGAAGGACGGAAAAGCATCAAAATTGCGCCCAAAAACTGCCTAATGTAACTTCTGAAACCCATAGAAAAAGATGATTTTAGCTACCTTTTCCTCCTGTTTCCGCCTGTTTCCTCCTGCTGCTGCTGCTGCTGCTCCTGCTCCTGCTACTCCGGTGGCAGGCTGCGACGCCTAAAATCGAACCACTCCCAGCAGCAAATCCCCATGGCAGTGAAGGACGGAAAAGCATCAAAATTGCGCCCAAAAACTGCCTAATGTAACTTCTGAAACCCATAGAAAAAGATGATTTTAGCTGCTTTTTCCTCCTGTTTCTTCCTCCTGCTGCTGCTGCTCCTGCTTCTGCTACTCTTCTGAAACCTATAGAAAAAATGATTGTAGCTACCTTTTCCTCCTGTTTCCTGCTGCTGCTGCTGCTCCTGCTCCTGCTACTCCGGTGGCAGGCTGCGACGCCAAAAATCGATCCACTCCCAGCAGCAAATCCCCATGGCAGTGAAGGACGGAAAAGCATCAAAATTGCGCCCAAAAACTGTTTAATGTAACTTCTGAAACCCATAGAAGAAGATGATTTTAGCTACCTTTTCCTCCTGTTTCTTCCTCCTCTGCTGCTGCTGCTCCTGCTCCTGCTACTCTTCTGAAACCTATAAAAAAATGATTGTAGCTACCTTTTCCTCCCGTTTCCTGCTGCTGCTGCTGCTGCTTCTCCTGCTCCTGCTACTCCGGTGGCAGGCTGCGACGCCAAAAATCGAACCACTCCCAGCAGCAAATCCCCATGGCAGTGAAGGACGGAAAAGCATCAAAATTCCGCCCAAAAACTGCCTAATGTAACTTCTGAAACCCATAGAAAAAGATGATTTTAGCTACTTTTTCCTCCTGTTTCCTCCTGCTGCTGCTGCTCCTGCTCCTGCTACCCTTCTGAAACCTATAGAAAAAATGATTGTAGCTACCTTTTCCTCCTGTTTTCTGCTGCTGCTGCTGCTGCTCCTGCTCCTGCTACTCCGATGGCAGGCTGCGACAACTCTAGTGCTGCTGCTGCTGCTGCTACTACTACTACTGCTGCTGCTGCTGCCTTACTGCCACTGGCTGCTGGCTGCCGACTGCTGCTGCTACAAGCCCCTTTTCCTGCTGGTGTGCTAGTGCTGCTGCTACAACTCTAGTGCTGCTGCTGCTACTACTGCTGCTGCTGGCTGCTGGCTGCACCATGCTACTGAAGGACGACTACTACTGCTGCTGCTGCTGGTGCTGCTGCTGCTGCTGCTACAAGAGTCAAAAGTAGGTGTGCTAGTGCTGCTGCTACAACTCTAGTGCTGCTGCTGCTACTACTGCTGCTGCTGCTGCTGGCTGCTGGCTGCACCATGCTACTGAAGGACGACTACTACTGCTGCTGCTGCCTTACTGCCGCTAGCTGCTGGCTGCCGACTGCTGCCGACTGGCTAGTATTGCCGCTGACTATGTGCTGCCGACTGCTGCTGCTACAAGCCCCTTCTCCTGCTGGTGTGCTAGTGCTGCTGCTACAGCCGACTGCTGCCGACTGGTTAGTATTGCCGCTGACTATGTGCTGCCGACTGCTGCTGCTACAAGCCCCTTCTCCTGCTGGTGTGCTAGTGCTGCTGCTACAACTCTAGTGCTGCTGCTGCTGCTACTGCTGCTGCTGGCTGCTGGCTGCACCATGCTACTGAAGGACGACTACTACTACTGCTGCTGCTGCTGCTGCTGCTGCTACAAGACCCTTCTCCTGCTGGTGTGCTAGTGCTGCTGCTACAACTCTAGTGCTGCTGCTGCTGCTACTACTGCTGCTGCCTTATTGCCACTGGCTGCTGGCTGCCGACTGCTGCTGCTACAAGCCCCTTCTCCTGCTGGTGTGCTAGTGCTGCTGCTACAACTCTAGTGCTGCTGCTGCTGCTACTACTGCTGCTGCTGCTGGCTACTGGCTGCACCATGCTACTGAAGGACGACTACTACTACTACTGCTGCTGCTGCTGCTGCTGCTGCTGGTGCTGCTGCTTGTGCTACAAGAGTCAAAAGTAGGTGTGCTAGTGCTGCTGCTAGTGCTGCCGCTGCTGCTGCTACTACTGCTGCTGCTGCTGCCTGCTGGCTGCACCACTACTGCTGCTGCTGCTGGTGCTGCTGCTGCTGCTACAAGAGTCAAAAGTATTATTCCCTGGCGCGCTCCCCCTTGCGTCTGCCGGGGTCGGCGGATTTACATAACCCAATAGATGAGATACCCTTATTTTCTAACTATTCTCCTTGTTTTCACAAAATAGGCTATATACAGAAAATTGTCTACAAAAAAAATAACTATTTAGTTAAATCTATGATTGAGAAATCGGTCTATTTTTACAAAATCGGCAGATTTTTCCCGGGACAGGGGGGTCGTAGTTTGGTAGAAAGTCGGTCGGACTTTCGCCCCTTGTTTGCAGGCGTGGGTCGGAGTTTGGTGAAGGTTTGAAGATTGATTTTTGCAACCCCTCCAGCATTTCCACGCATTGGCGTCGTACTTTGGTCAGACTTTGGTCGGAGTAGTTTGGCCCCAAATAGAAATTATCTATTTCCTAGGAAATAGATTATTTCCTAGGAAATAGGCTCAAAAAAATCTAACTATTAGTTGAATGTGTTTTTCAAAAATCTATCTATTTTTCAACCCCTACAAATCTACCAATTCTATCTAAATAGACTACTTCTTGTGAAATAGGTTATAGTCAGAAAATAAACTATTTCAATCTATTGGGAAGGCTTTTAAACATCATAACCCACTAGCAAGACCACAGCCCATCCAAGCAGGGCGTACATCCGACCCCTTGGCAGTGCACATTGCACCACGCCTGCCACGCAAAAGAAGCGGAGCCCGAGGGACGCCAGGGCGTACATCCGACCCCTTGGCAGTGCACATTGTCCCACGCCTGCCACGAAAAAGAAGCGGAGCCCGAGGGACGCCACAGGGCGTACATCCGACCCCTTGGCAGTGCACATTGAGTGATGAGTGTGTGTCAATGAGTGAGTGATGAGTGTGTGTGTGAGTGAGTGAGTGAGTGAGTGAGTGAGTGAGTGAGTGAGTGAGTGAGTGAGTGAGTGAGTGAGTGAGTGAGTTCTATCTATCTATCTATCTATCTATCTATCTATCTATCTATCTATCTATCTATCTATCTATCTATCTATCTATCTATCTATCTATCTATCTATCTATCTATCTATCTATCTATCTATCCTAGTTATCTATCTATCTATCTATCTATCTTCTCTCTATCTATCTACTATCTATCTATTTCTATCTATCTTCTAACTAGCTATCTATCTCTCTATCTTCTATCTATCTATCTATCTATGCTATCTATCTTCTATCTATCTATCTATCTATCTATCTATCTATCTATCTATCTAATCTATCTATCTATTCTATCCCCCGATCTATCTATCTATCTATCTTATCTATCTATCTATCTATCTTCTATCTATCATATCTATCTATCTATCTATCATTATCTTCATTATCCTATCATTATCTATCATTATCTATCATTATCTATCATTATCTATCATTATCTATCATTATCTATCATATCTATCATTATCTTCATTATCTATCTATCTATCTATCTATCTATCTATCTATCTATCTATCTATCTATCTATCTATCTATCTATCTATCTATCTATCTATCTATCTATCTATCTATCTCTCTATCTCTCTATCTCTCTATCTCTCTATCTCTCTCTCTATCTATCTATCTATCTATCTATCTATCTATCTATAAATCTATAATATGCAAAGTATCCTTCAAGTGAATGTGAACGATCTGTCTGCCTCAAGCTTTTGGTTCATGTGGAGCAGCTCCCTTTTTCTGGACGCCCTTAGGGAGTTCCGGTTTTGGTCCTCTCCGGCTGGCACCTGCCCCTGGGGTTTCATAGCCTTAGCCATTTGGGTTTCCTGCTTGTGTGGCTGCTGCTTTGGGATCCTTGCTGGCATTTTTGTGGCTTCCAGGTGGTGCCGTCAGGTGGCATTGCAACTTCTAGGTGTCTTGCTGCAAGCTTTGCATCCTGCTCCTCTAGTTGGCCCCACAGTCACTGGACTGCAGCGTAGGTTCGGGGAATACCGTGCATGAGCACGGAGCTGGCAACACTGCACGAGTCTTTGTTGGACTTTCAGAGGCAGATGAGGGCTTTGCTGTTGCGAGTTGAGACTCTGGAAAGGCGATCAGAATCTAGCTGGGAAGTGGTAGCTGATCCACACGGTGCGTCCGAAGGGCTTGCTGAGTGGGAAAGCCGCCTTATTGCTGCGACAACTCCGGACGCTGTTCTGGCTGCTGCTTTGAGCTCTATCAACCATTTGCTGTCAGCTCGTGGCACTCTGAGCACTGTGAGCGGCTGGTGCACCCGTGCAAGATTGGGTCGTGCTCTTCGCGCTGGAGTGGTAGCTCGTCGCTGCCAGGCCTCTGGTGACTATAGAGTAACCCATTTGCCTGATTTGGGGATCCGTTGCTTGTTTCATATTTCTTTGATTTGCCCAGATAAGTCCCAAGGTTTTTGGACGAAATCCCATAGACCTTTTGTCAATTTGATTGGTGACCATCTCGGTAAGATTGAAAGCCAAGACCCACCATCAAGCGTTTTCCATTCCTTTCCCACTGAACGAGAAGCAGCCGCTTACCTGGTCGGTGCCCAGAAGGAATGGCCAGTGGAGCTGTGAGTGGCTCTGTGACTGCAGAATTTGTAAATCGTGCCCTAGCTGGCTCCGTCAAAGATCGTTTGTCAGCTCTGGTTTTGACTGATTCAGCAACTGGAAACGCAACATGGAAAAGTCAAGTTTTGCTGGTCCGCTCTCGCGTCAATGGGTTCATGGCAATGTTGCCTCGAGCCGCCGAAATCGAAGAGTGTTTACATGCCTTCACCATTTCTCCAGGAGAAGAGGTGGTTATGCTGTCCGCGGTCGATGTGGCCTTCGAGACAGCGCGTGGCCGACAGCTGGGAGAAGGTCCGGTTCTCATCGCAGATTTGCCTTGGAGCTATCTAGGACTGTTCAGAAAACCCGGCCGCAATGGCCTGCCCCTGGTGAGTTTTCAGCACGAATCGGGTGCCGGCCGCCCATCCTTAGATGCCGCTCTGATCGTTGCCGAACAGTGGATCCACGATGTGTTAGATCCCGATACTGCCAACGAGTATGCTTCAGCATTCGAAGATGGTGTGCCTATCGAGGATGCCGAGGACGAAGTGCCCAGTCCGAGCACACTCCGTGCTGCCGTGCCAGATCATGTAGCTGCCTTGCAGGAGCGCGTGGCCATGCTAGAAGGCCTTGTGAAAGCTCAGGGAACAGGCGGCCAGACAGGTCGTGGAGAATCGGGCCTGAAGTCCAGTTTGTTCGACCGTGCGCCCAAGCAGACCATCACTCAGGCAGAGCTCGAGCGTCTGCACCGAGCAGTGGGCCCTGCGCCCAAACGTCTAGGTCGAGCAGAGGCAGGAGGTCAGCAGACAGGGTTCCGCCCGGATCCAGCGGACGATGCCTTGTTGGCAGAGGTGGATCGAGGAGTAGCCGATTTAGAGTCAGAGACCCAAGTTCTGGAGCAACAAGTCTTGGCACAGCTGGCAAGCAGTTCAGACCCCTTGCAGCGCCTGATGGTTCTGCAGATGCGACAAACTCAGGATCTTGTGAAAGCTCTTATGCCCCGACAACAGACAGATCCGATTGCCGCCATGTTAAGCGGCTCGGACAACGGTGCCGCCAGCTCAGGCGGCGGAGTTTCTGTGAAGGGCTACGCAGCTCGGGAGATGTTCCTCAAGCAGCTACAGGACGATCACAAGCTAGTCGAGTTAATCAAGCAGAATGCCAGGCTGGAACTGGGTGTTCAGAAGGGAAGGGAAGAACCTTCTTTGATGAAGACATTCCTGGAGCAGCGCATCCCGATTGGCGACCATCGCTTGCTAGCCCAGTTTGGGTACATGCTGGCTTCGGGGTGGGAGCTGGGCGAGACATCCCAGAATCACCAACTCATGGCGTTTTGCGGAAGGATGATGATGTTTGTAGAGCAAAGCTGTTTGGATTCCGGCCGCGCAGGCCTTGCCTGGCTGATGACGGGTCTTCCAGAACCGAACTTCCAGCAGCTAGCTTTGAACAAGAAAAGGTCAACACTGACGCCTTTTGCCAAGTTAGCCCCGCCAACATGGATCGCTGCCAACCTGAGTTACCTCAAGGATGTGGACACGTTCGATTCGCGTCTTCGGCAGTTAGGAATCAGCAAGTCTCAGAATCCGCAAACTCCGGAAGGGGATCCAGAAGATCGGAATCCCAAGCCGAAATTCAAGCCCAAGAAGCCAAAGGGCGGCAAGGGAGCAAAGGGGTCCGAAGCGGCCTCAAACGACGGCTCCAATGCATGAATCAGAAGCCGGGGGACGACGCACAGAGCTCTCTGAGACAATGCAGTTCTTCTGTTAATTGTGATAAGATGAGTTATAAGTCCCCTTTTCAATTTTTTAGTTGCAATTCTTTTAATCCCCAAGCTGAATCCTTCGAGCCTATGAGTGTTTTGGTAGCATCGCTGCAACAGATTGAGCAAGTCCCCTGCAGCTTTAATACCTTTAGATCTAAGGCTTTGGTGCCAGCTTGGCTCTCACGCACTGTGGGCTTGCCTACCAATCGCAAGCCTTTGTGGCCTGTCCCTCCACCCCTTTGGAGATGGACTGGTAATGCAAAACCTGGACCTAGTCAGCGTCGCCGTAGGAGGTTAGCATATGCAAAATTTGTGTTATTGCAGCGGATTGTGTGCTTTCTTAATTGGGTAACCCTTGGATATCCGGATAGGCCACCGCAAGAAGCTCAGGCCGGGGAGCCTTGGACTGATGCCCAGTATAAAGTGCTAGAAGTCTTGCAAGAGCACATTGACCACTTTTGCAGCCAGCCGACCTTTAGCCAGACTGACTTAGGGAGGTTCGGGGAAAAATTCGCTGCTTTGGGAAAGTCGCTTCAGGAACTGCCGCAACATGTGGAAGTGGACCTTGGTGATTTGTTGCATGAAATCAAATTGAGTTTCGATGCGTACGCCCGCTTTGAAGAACCTCATTTCAAAAATTCGGAATCACATCATGATGAACATGCACAGTGTTCCCACATCCCAGCCCAGATGGCCGTCAAAGACTTAGGACATAAGACTGTAGTTGCCTCCAGGATAAAGTGGAAACACCCTCCTACTTTTGATCCTAGGCCATACTTACTTGATCCTGTAGTCAAAGCTGTCTTCAATGAGCCGGACGCACTTAGGTTGCCGGCCAGTCTGTGGCCCTCAAAAAGTCGTGCTAGGGTTCACTGTTCTAGACCTGAACTTTTGAAGTTAATGAAAATCTGGGATGCTCATGGTTCACTGGCTTTGTTTCCACATGATGCAGTTGATCGGCATGAGACGGTTGGCATTTTCGCAGTTCCTAAGGATTCTGAGTTTGATCGCCTTATAATCAACCCAATAGTTCTAAACTCTAGGATGATGCCCTATAGTTCCTATACCAAGAGGTTAGCCCCTGGTGCATTACTATCACTCCTAAGTTTAAAACCCCATGAAGCTTTTCGGTTTTGTGCAGATGACCTTTCAGATTTTTACTATACCTTCCAGGTGCCACGGGCCCGTGCCAAGCGTAATTGCATTGGGACCCTTGTGTACCCATCTGAGGTAAAGGATCTAAATTGTTTTGATGCTACAGTCCCGGGTCCATATTATCCGGCTCTCGCTACCTTAGCTATGGGAGATGGTCATGCGGTTGAAATAGCGCAAGGGAGTCACCACGCGTTGTTGCAGCTTGAAGCCGGTAGCATGTTGGATTCAGAGACTCTTGAATATCGTAAGCCCATTCCGCGTAGTACTTTTGTTGAACTATTGGCCATTGATGATCACATAGGCGTTCAAAAACTCCCCATGGCTGAAATCCATCGGCAACCTGTTCTGCGAGATACCCATGTTTTCCAATCGGCTCAAAGAGCGTACAAAAAGGTAGGGCTTGTTGCTCACCCCGGTAAAGCTCGTCGAAATGAGACTCAAGGGACCATTTTGGGGGCAGACTTCGATGGTATCAAAGGGCGAGTCAGTGCCCCTAGATCACGGATGCTGCTTCTTGTTTGGATGACCTCACTGATTGTTAAGGTAGGTACCTGTACACGTCAGATTTTGAGCTCAATCTTAGGTTGTTGGATCCATGTAATTCTGTTTAGGCGCCCTCTCTTAGCTCTGGTAGACGCCTTGTTCAAAGAGGGTCTGAACCGCAAGCCTCTTGAAGTGTTTTGTTTATCATCCCACGCACGGCATGAACTCATTTCACTTTGTCTTTTAGGCCCTTGCGCGCAAGCAGATTTACGGGTTGCTTTCCATGATCGTTTGTTTTCACTAGATGCCTCTCCGTATGGGGGGGCCATTGTTTCAGCAGAGACCACGGAGTCTCTTGTTTCTGAACTATGGAGACACTCAGAGCAACGTGGATATCACACAAACCTTTTGGGTCCAGCCGGGGCAATCCTAGCAGAACATGGCATCGATGCAGCCGACCAGCCAGAACTAATAAGCCCGATAACTCATAGTCATGAACCCCATAACCATAAGATCCCTGCCAGCCTGACCGAAGGGGTCCTGTATGATTGTGTCGAACTGTTTCGTGGCTCAGGTGTTTGGTCAGCCGCACATCATCTACATGGGTTGTGTGTGCATGAGGGTTATGAGCAGAATCAAAACAGACTCTTTTTCAGAGATCTAGCCGATCGTGCCACGTTTCAAGAAGTCATTTCACTAGCACTTCGCAGGGTTGTTAGGGAATGGCATGCTGGTCCCCCATGTCTCACTTTTGGAACTCTTAGAAGACCTCGCTTGCGCAATGTTTCGCACGCTGCTGGTTTCGATTTGCATGACCCGTTGACTGCAGCTCACAATGTATTAGCAATGCGTACTGCAATGCTGGGGCTGATCGTGATTGCCACTGGTGCCTACTTTAGCTGCGAGCAACCAGGATCGTCGGTCATGTTTCGCATGCACCTATTTAGAGTTCTTGTGCAAAGGGGATGTGTGGTGACTAGAATGGCCTTTTGTAACTTTGGTTCCGCATTTAATAAACCTTCTCAGTGGCTCCACAATAAAGGCTGGCTACTGCAGTTTGAAGGTTCATGCCGGTGTCAGTGGAAACATCGTCATTTCACCATTGAGGGTTCATTCACCAGGAGTTCCATTCAGCAATTCGATTCCCGTTGCGAGCCGAATGCCAGCGCAGTGTATGGCCGCCTGCCAGCAATCGGAGAAGCTGTCTCGAGTTTTTCAGCACAGTATCCCACTAGCCTGATGACACGCATGGCCCAAGGAAGTGCTGCCAGTAAGCTTGAGGGTCCAGCAATTATCCCACTTTCAGCTAAGATCCTTTCTCATAAGCGGGTGGGGTTAGAAATTCCAGCCGAGCTCGAACCAGATGTAGGCCCTAATATTGACACTGAAGTTTGTAATGTTGAATCCCGGTCGTGGTTCGAAGATCCTGAGTGGATTGGAGAAATAGCCGACTCTTTGCACTTTCAGACTTTGTTTAAGTATCAGTTTAAAAAGGGTAACCATATCAATGTCCTCGAAAGTCAGGTGTATCTTTCATGGATTAAGCACTGTGCCAAATCTTTGCCCAACCACCGGGTGCTTGGATTACTTGACAGCAGGGTGACCATTGGAGCTGCGTCCAAAGGCCGCTCTGGCAGTTTTGCAATTTCTAGAATCCTCAAAAAGTCAATACCCTACCTTCTTGGATCAAATTTGTACCCAGGGTCTTTGCATATATATTCAGCCAAAAACCGTGCCGATGCCCCGTCCCGCGACCGCCAGGTTGATGGACCTACAAAGGACCGGCCCGATTGGCTGATTGCTCTGGAGAATGGGAATTTCAAGCAGTTTGACCTTGTTTGCCAGGCAGCTGGCTATCCTCGTGTTATCGGCAGGTGGATTAGAATGTTGCTGCTGTTAGCTGGGGATGTTGAGAGAAATCCCGGCCCGGAGAGACCACCAGCACATGCGCCGAGAGGCGAGCTGAATATGGACATCGGTTTTGCCAAGGCGACCTCTCAGAGAATGAAAAAGTGTTTTTCTGCATTTCAGCATTGGATTGAGCTGGAAGTAAAGATAGACTTCAACAGTCTGATGCAGGAGCACGAGACCTGTAGCCTAGCTCTTCGAGCGTATGGGTTGCATCTCTTCCGTTGCGGATATCCCAGATACATGTATGTGTATGCGATCACGGCGGTCCAGGACACTTTTCCTCAGCACCGGCCTTTCCTGGGAGCAGCTTGGCAGGTTGACAAGAAGTGGCAAGTAGCTGAGCCAGGCCAATGTCGGCCAGTTCTATCCCTGCCTATTTTCAGGGCTGCTCTTTGCGTGGCTTTGCTCTGGGGATGGAAGCGATGGGCGGCTGTCTCCATGATCGCGTTTGCTGGGATGCTGCACCCTGCAGAGTTTATAGCACTCGAGCGCTGTGACTTGATGCTGCCTAGAGATACTTTCTTTTGTACTGATGTTTTGTACGTTCACCTCAAAAATCCCAAAACATTCCGATTTGCCCGGCAACAACATGTGAAGATCTGCGATCCTGAAATCATTTCTTTTGTTGATGCTTTGTTCAAAGGTACCCGTTGAAGAATCGATTGTTTGGGGGCACCATTAGCATGTATCGCAATCAGTGGAATGCGATTATGTTTGCCCTCGGAGTTCCTTGCAAGCAACTTCATCGTGGAGTCACTCCTGGAACTTTACGAGGATCTGGGGCGACATGTCTCTATTTGCAGACAGAGAACATCCCACTGATTTGCTGGCGTGGTCGGTGGAGCCGTGTCAAGACGTTAGAGTACTACTTACAAGAAGTGGCAGCTCAAGTGATGCATCATTCTCTGAAGCCTGAAGCGAAAGCCGTGATCGAAACTTTGAATGAAGCATGTCTTGGAGTTTTTACCATGGTTTTGCATGCGGTGAGCAAGGACGCTTGCGGCGCAGTTTCCTAGAACTGGATTGAGGCATCGCATTTTCAATTTTGCATTTGTAGTGCCATCGATTTCTGGTCTGGAGACTGTTCAGTCTGCTGGATGTTTGATCCTAGCAGCATTGTGCAAAGCTTTGCTGTCTCGAATCTCGAGGCATGGGCAGCTTGGAGTGGAAGTGAGAAATGGAGGATGCAAAGTATCCTTCAAGTGAATGTGAACGATCTGTCTGCCTCAAGCTTTTTCCCACAGGCCTCCCACCCGGATTGAGGCATCGCATTTTCAATTTTGCATTTGTAGTGCCATCGATTTCTGGTCTTGAGACTGTTCAGTCTGCTGGATGTTTGATCCTAGCAGCATTGTGCAAAGCTTTGCTGTCTCGAATCTCGAGGCATGGGCAGCTTGGAGTGGAAGTGGGAAATGGAGGATATATATATATATTACTATCATCTATAGCATGCCAAGCAAGAGAATATGTCAAACATTTGATTTGAAATTGCCCCGGATGTAGATTGCATTCACAGTGCTCACGCTTACTGAGCTCACCGTTCTTTGCAAAACTGCAGAGCTTGAGGTGCGCTTTGCTTAGCCAATGCTCTGGGACCGATATCACTGGCTGTTCTGGGTTCATGTTCCCCATGTACTAATATAGATAAATCATACAGACCACAATAATAAGTAGAGCTACCTAAGTACCTTGGCTGAGGGCTTCCGAGGTATATCATTTTATATATATATATATTTGTATTTATATTTATATATATACATCATATTTGCTGAACTGAATTATGTTTCATGTTTAGTCTACGTTTACTCTGGTGATTGTTTCATCAGTACGGCCCAGATTCAGTGTAGTCTCTTTGGGCGTTGGACCAATCTCAAATTAAATTAGAAGCTCTGCAAGACGCAATATGAAGCCACAGCGTGAGCCATAAATCCAATTGGTCTGCGTAAGACACGTACAAAAGGACCAACAGAGTGGAGACAAAAAAAACATACACACACATGGGTGTGTGGTGCGTGGGTGGATTAGGGATCAAGGGTTTGGGTGCCGTGAATTACTTTATGATAGGCCCGGTAGGGTAAAATTCCATAGTGATGGTATGGGACTGGGAAAGATTTGATTTATTTATGGTTATATACCTGTCACCAAAGTTTTTTTTTCCGGTTACCACCTTGGTATATCATGGTTCAAAGCTATCCATATTTGTGCAAAAGATTCGAAAGATTGGTTGTAGTATCTCCACAAAACGGGAAAAAACATACCACCGGAGTTGATATGGGGAAATAACCATTATTTTATAGAAATATCAAATTTCATAGAAGACAAAACCACATGGACTATTTCCTTCTGGTCCTTGAATATCACTCTTGGTGTTTTATGCTTCCAAGTCATGATTTTTGATGATCATTTTTTTGGTTATTTCAAGACCGGTTTTGGTATAGCTATCTATTCCGTAACGTCTAGATGCTCACTGGAATCAGTACTACTTGCTGCTTGCTTCCTTGCTTCCTTGCTTACTGCTTGCTTGCTTGCCTGCTTGCTTGCTGCTTGCTTGCTGCTTGCTTGCTGCTTGCATGCTGCTTGCTTGCTGCTTGCTTGCTGCTTCTTGCCTTCTGCTTGCCTGCTTGCTTGCCAGCTGCTTGCCTGTTGCTTGCTTGCCCGCTGCTGCTGCTGCTGCTTCCTGCTGCTGCTGCTGCTGCTTCCTCCTGCTGCTGCTGCTGCTGCTGCTTCCGCCTGCTGCTGCTGCTGCTGCTGCTTCCGCCTGCTGCTGCTGCTTCCTCCTCCTGCTGCTGCTGCTTTCTGCTTGCATCTTGCCTGCTTCTGCTTGCCTGCTTCTGCTTGCCTGCTGCTGCTTGCCTGCTGCTGCTTGCCTGCTGCTGCTTGCCTGCTGCTGCTTGCCTGCTGCTGCTTGCCTGCTGCTGCTTGCCTGCTGCTGCCCGCCTGCTGCTGCCCGCCTGCTGCTGCTGCTGCCTCCTGCTGCTGCTTCCTCCTGCTGCTGCTGCTGCTTCCTCCTGCTTCTGCTGCTGCTGCTGCTGCCTCCTGCTGCTGCTGCTGCCTCCTGCTGCTGCTGCTGCCTCCTCCTGCTGGTGTTGCTTCCTGCTGCTGCTTCCTCCTGCTGCTGCTAGCTTCCTCCTGCTGCTGCTAGCTTCCTCCTGCTGCTGCTGCTGCTTCCTCCTGCTGCTGCTGCTGCCGCTGCTGCTGCTTCCTGCTGCTGCTGCTGCTGCTTCCTGCTGCTGCTGCTGCTGCTGCTCCTGCTGCTTCCTCCTGCTGCTGCTGCTGCTGCTGCTGCTTAGCTGCTGCTTAGCTGCTTCCTCCTGCTGCTGCTGCTGCTGCTGCTTCCTCCTGCTGCTGCTGCCGCTGGTGCAAACATTTGGCCGAAAAAGAAAATAACAGTCTCGGTCGCCTTGTGTGGCGCTGGCGGGAGGTACGGGCGGGAGACACCAGCACCAGCAGAGAGAGGGATTGTTTCTGGCTGGTTGGAATGAAACATTGCGGTCGCATAGCGCGGTTGTTTCGCTGCGCTCACACCATCTCGCACCATCTCGCAAGACGGCGCAGACGGCAAGGCGGCGCAAGACGGCGCAAGAAGGCGCAAGACGGCGCAAGACGAAACAGACGCAACATGATGCAACAGAGGGCGCAGACGGAGCACCGACAAAACCTGCCACCCTTTCTGCCCGCAATGGAATGAAAGGTTTTATTCCAACTCGTAATCGCTGGGTGGATAGGACAACAAACTTCTTGAGAGCTGTCCACGACATTGATGCACATCGTGCCAGCCATAGATTTGGTTGCGGAAACAAGGGGCCCCCATATCCTTATATAATCATATCATCCTAGATCACAGCCCTGCCAATAGGATTGGCTACAGCTAACCCATGTGCATTGCAAGAATTTTGAGGCTGTACCAATCGGGGTTTGATTTGGTCACACGACGCAGGACATCAATACAATATATTCAAATCCAATGGAATTTAGCTGCCGAGAATTTGTTTGTATTATCTTGTGCCCTTCAAAATCATCGCTGTGCGCAATGCTTCGGCTACCTTTAACTAAATCTCCAATTATAGATGAAACAGGCTGTGCCATGGTGATTCTTCTTCCCTGATGTGACTTTCCACTACCTGATGTGACTTTTCTGTATCGCCGCCGTGCCATGGGGATGATGTGACTTTTCCCGCCTAATGTGACTTAAGAACGGTGCTTGTATGATGAAATCAGGATCCGGCATCAGGCAGCTGCAGGGACGTGAGTTATGAGGCATAGGATTGGTTAAGAAATGTTGAGTTAAGAAACTTGAGGATGGTTCGCAATCTTAGCACCCAATCGGGGGTCAGTGTTGTAATTCAGGGCTCCACGACCTGCGCCTCGTGGCCAAAGGGCCGGCTATCCAGCCGCGCCAAAGGCGCAGAAGTTCCTGGTGTGGGCGGTTCAATTTTTTTGGGAGTGCTAGTGATCATGACATGTCTTGATCACTGCAGTCTGGCAGCACCAGGAGCTAAGTTTGTTTCTGACACTGGCAGAAAAGTGTTTCAACTCATGAATCAAATTTGGGTATCTGAGGCTAGGTATATTTTTCACCCGCGACAGGCATTCCCGCACCTCCTGGGTGGTCAACCTTCAACCTGATCTTCACTTGAATCTTCATGCCTATTTTTGACATTCAATTCATCTCAATTCAATGTTTTTTTCATGACCCATGCCTTTAAAAAATATTCCAGAGTATCAACTAGGTGTTGTTTTTTCCCGAGAGCGTCTGAGCGCAGGGTTCTTCCAATAGTGGGGGCCTGTAAAACATCTTCTCATGTTCACATCTTCTCATCTTCACATCTTCTCATCTTCACATCCTCTCATCTTCACATCCTTTCATCTTCACATCTTCTCATCTTCACATCCTCTCATCTTCACATCCTCTCATCTTCACATCTTCACATCCTCTCATCTTCACATCCTCTCATCTTCACATCTTCTCATCTTCACATCCTCTCATCTTCACATCTTCTCATCTTCACATCTTCTCATCTTCACATCTTCTCATCCTCCCATCTTCTCGTCATCTTCTCATCTTCTCATCTTCTCATCTCACATCCTCTCATCTTCACATCTTCTCATCTTCACATCTTCTCATCTTCTCACATCTTCTCACATCTTCTCACATCTTCTCACATCTTCTCACATCTTCTCACATCTTCTCATCTTTACATCTTCTCATCTCACACCTTCTCCTCTTGCCCTCTTGCCCTCTTGCCCTCTCCTTCTTTTCCATTTCTTTCTTTGAAGGCAGGAGCAGGGGCAGTGCCAACGAGACGGCACGAAACGCAACCCTTTCGCATGAAATGAAGTTCGATCGTCAAAAACTCAGGTAAAATTGCGATTTCAACTTGTCCGGCGCAACCCTTTCGCACGAAATGAGGTTCGATCGCCAAAAACTGAGGTAAAATTGCGATTTCAAGTCGTCCGGCGCAACCCTTTCACACGAAATGAGGTTCGATCGTCAAAAACTGAGGTAAAATTGCGATTTCAACTTGTCCCGCGCAACCCTTTCACACGAAATGAGGTTCGATCGCCAAAAACTGAGGTAAAATTGCGATTTCAACTTGTCCGGCGCAACCTTTTCACACGAAATGAGGTTCGATCGCCAAAAACTGAGGTAAAATTGCGATTTCAACTTGTCCGGCGCAACCCTTTCGCACGAAATGAGGTTCGATCGCAAAAAACGGAGGTAAAATTGCGATTTCAACTTGTCCGACGCAACCCTTTCGCACGAAATGAGGTTCGATCGCCAAAAACTGAGGTAAAATTGCGATTTCAAATTGGTCCCGCGCAACCCTTTCGCACGAAATGAGGTTCGATCGCCAAAAACTGATGTAAAATTGCGATTTCAAGTGGTCCGGCGCAACCCTTTCGCACGAAATGAGGTTCGATCGCCAAAAACTGGGGTGAAATTGAGATTTCAACTTGTCCCGCGCAACTCTGTCGCATGTCCCTTGAGCACGAAATAAGGTTGGATCGCCAAAAAATGAAGTAAAATTGCGATGTGTCTAAAAGCGTCTGTGTGTAAAAGCGTCCGTGTGTAAAAGCGTCTGTGTGTAATAGCGTCTGTGTGCGAAAGCTTCTGTGTGTAAAAGCGTCTCTGTGTAAAAGTGTTTGTGTGTAAAACTGTTTGTGTGTAAACTTTTGCGTGTAAAAGTCTCTGTGTGTAAAAGCGTCTGTGTGTAAAAGCTTCTGTGTGTAAAAGCGGTGTAAAAGTGTCTGTGTGTAAAAGCGTCTGTGTGTAAAAGTGTCTGTGTGTGAAAGTGTCTGTGTGTAGGGGCATCGTTGTGTAAATAAGTCTGTGTGCGCAAATGCACTCAGAATGACCGAACTGTGCGGCCTGCAGATTTTCATTTGTGAAGACACTTCAAAATATCCAATCACTGCGCTCGCTTGCACGAGCCCTCGGCTGAACCTGTGGAGCATCTGTCGCGGACTCAGCTTGTTTCACATATGCATAGAGACTATCTGTATGGAAAACTATCAGACTATCACTTCATTCGTCTTCATTTCACTACGATTTTTGACGGCATCACTACTATTTCATTTTGATGGCGGCTCAAGGTCCTGGATAACAAGTTCTGTCATGGTTTTAACTCAAGCTGCAGTGGTATTTTCACATTCAATGGATTCAACGGCCCGTTTCAACCGGAACTGTCTGAGAGACGGGCACCGTGCAGGCACGTGACCATCATGGACCTACACAGTCACATTTTAGAGATCCAACTGATGCCATGTCACACGTTTGTTTTGATTAAGACCCGCAGATTTTCATTTGTGAAGACACTTCAAAATATCCAATCACTGCGCTCGCTTGCACGAGCCCTCGGCTGAACCTGTGGAGCATCTGTCGCGGACTCAGCTTGTTTCACATTTGCATAGAGACTATCTGTATGGAAAACTATCAGACTATCACTTCATTCGTCTTCATTTCACTCCGATTTTTGACGGCATCACTACTATTTCATTTTGATGGCGGCGCAAGGTCCTGGATAACAAGTTCTGTCATGGTTTTAACTCAAGCTGCAGTGGTATTTTCACATTCAATGGATCCAACGGCCCGTTTCAACCGGAACTGTCTGAGAGACGGGCACCGTGCAGGCATGTGACCATCATGGACCTACATAGTCACATTTTAGAGATCCAACTGATGCCATGTCACATGTTTGTTTTGATTAAGACCCGCAGATTTTCATTTGTGAAGACACTTCAAAATATCCAATCACTGCACTCGCTTGCACGAGCCCTCGGCTGAACCTGTGGAGCATCTGTCGCGGACTCAGCTTGTTTCACATATGCATAGAGACTATCTGTATGGAAAACTATCAGACGCATCTTTGCTTGAGACATTCAGTTTCACCGTAGTGCATCCTGTCACACCATAGTGTATCGGCGTGGGTCAAGCAGAACGGTCTGAGACTCCATAGAAGAGCAATAAAGCTGCCGATTCCTTTTGCGCATATAGTTGTGCCGGGACATCGCTGAATGTGATCTGTCACAGTCATTAGTCATAGTCCTTGAATGCTTTGCGGGTCCGCATTGTTGGTCTGTGCAGCTAGGTTTGCATCGAGTCAGGGCCCCGGGATGGGATGGATTACCTGGATAAGCTGCTACCACAAAGAAACAAATCGATATATTTTATATTGAGATAGAGCTAGAGATATGATATAGAGATGGATGTATGAGTGTTAATATATAGAGATGGATGTATGAGTGTTAAGATAAGAGTTTCAGTTCCAGTCACAGTCAGGAGTCAGGACCCTAAACCCATAAAGAACCAACTTATATCATATTGTAATACTGTGCGTGTCCCAGCCCAGAAACGGTCGCCGCCTGCCAGGTCCGCCCGTTTATACTTTTTTTTTCAGGAGATGGCAAACCACCTTGGTTGGGGGGCCCCAAAGCACATAGCCCGCATGACATGTTTATACATGCTGGTTTCGAGGCACATGGAAATAGGACTTCGCCGCACCACCCGTCGGATTGCTGAGGTCGCCACGACAACGATGACTTCGCTGTGACTACATGGGCCGGCCTCTGTGTAAAAGCGTCTGTGTGTACAAGTGATTGTGTGTAAAAGCGCTTGTGTGTAAAGCCGTCTGTGTGTAAAAGCGTCTGTGTGCAAAAGTGTTTCTGCGTAAAAGTGTTTGTGTGTAGAAGCTTCTGTGTGTACAAGCGTCTGCGTGTAAAAGCGTCTGTGTGTAAAAGTGTTTGTGTGTAAAAGTGTTTGTGTGTAAAAGTGCCTGTGTGTAAAAGCGTCTATGTGTAAAAGCTTCTGTGTGTCAAAGCGTTTGTGTGTAAAAGCAGCTCCTGTGTGTAAAAAGGTCTGTGTGTAAAAGTGTCTGTGTGTAAATGTGTCTGTGTGTAACAGTGTCCGTGTAAAAGCGTCTGTGTGTAAAAACATCTGTGTGTAAAAGCGTCTGTATGTAAAAGCTTCTGTGGGTAAAAGCTTTGTGTGTAATAGCCTCTGTGTAAAAGCTTCTGTGTGTAAAAGCTTCTGTGTGTAAAAGCTTTTGTGTGTAAAAGCGTCTGTGTGTAAAAGTGTTTGCGATGCAAACTATTGTCTTGCACTTCTCACTATTTTGTCTTGCTACTCCTCTTCTCGACTGCCTATAACACATCTTTCATTATTGTTTGTAAAATTGTGTCTCCATACTAACAAGAGAAGACCCTGCTCCTCTACGCTCTCTGGCCATCCGTCGTCTAGTTTTTAAAGTTTCTTTTCGAATTAAGTAGTCAAGTTGGAATAGAGTTTGAAATTCGACCATTGGACCAAAAAAGAAGAAAAATAAGCCAAGTATTGGACTTTAACAGATTTTATCATTATTTGTTGTGGCCCTCCGTTGTGCTATCCAAACATCTTCACTCAAATGACGTGAAATGTTAGTACACCAGTCATAAACCTACCATTTCCAGATGTTTTATAACACCCATGTCTGCTTTGGAGATCTTTGGAGATACTTTAGTTATATGATACCCATGTCTTCTTTGGAGGCACTTTATAAATCCACTATAAACCTACTATTTTCAGATGCTTCTGTTATATGATTGGTTTTACCACATTGGATACCTACCACATTGGATACCCACGTCTCTTCCGTATCGGCAGGGCACAGCAAGTCCTGAATGCCGCAGGGTCCGGGTGTCCCTGATCCGGGTGTCCTGCGGTCCCCGTGGAGTCTCCATGGAGTCTCCGAGATGTGCAGCTGGTGATGTTCATGGGACATGTCACCATCGTTAGATGAGATTTTTTTGAGTAGTTAACCTCTGGTGAACTAACATAGCAATGGAAAATGGCCATTTATAGTGGATTTTCCCATGAAAAATGGTGATTTTCCATTGCTATGTTAGTTCACCAGAGGGTAATTATAGTATTTAATGGTATGATATTATTTCACTAATAATGTTAGGATGATGGAAAACTATAGATGATACCAAGGTTTGATTGAGATTTAATAAGTACAATGTGGGGCCCCCAAGATAGCTAAGTTGGTGCAAATAACTCCAATAACTATGGTTTATAATACCTATAACTCTAGTATTCATGGGATTTATAAACAAACTTCTAACTGGGGGGGCCCACATTGTAGTTATTTAACATAGCCTTGGAAAATCCCAACCATAAATGGAGGTTTATAGCTGGGAAAATCATGTCACCAATAATGTTAGTTCTAAACTATTAGTAATGTAGTAGTACACCTGGTGCACATTATTGGTGAACAACTATTATGGGACATTCACCTGCTCATTCTAAATTATTAGTAGTTATATGTTATCTATATGTTATGCATTTTAATGAGTAGTTATTGCACCATCTCACCATTCATGCACTACCAACAATCATGGGATAATTCATGACTTATTAATGGAATAATCCCTTCCCCCTATTACTAACCCCCCAAAAAAATAAAACTAGACTAGGGTCCGTCTCCAATTTTGGAACATTGAGGTTGGCCAATTTGATTTTTAATTTATCCCCTTTAGAAAACAATTTTAACATGAAGCTACCATTTCAGGGTTTCACCCCCTAATAATAAAAACTATAGTCAACCCCGGGGTGTTCTTTATTAGGGTCCGTCCGTCTTTTAAAGTCGAAAAAAACATGTCTTTTATATTAATGTTTTTAATTTAATATTAGGGGGAAAGCTTCGACATCCAATTTTTGGCAATATTTACTTAGATTTTAACAGGAAATCGAATCGATTTTGAAATAGAACAAAATAGTTTTTTATATTAGGGTTTCAAATTTGCTATTAGGAGAAACCCTAATAATAAATACACCCAATAATAATAACAACTACCTGAGGTGTTTATTATTTGGGGGGAGTTAGTTTTTTTGGGGGAAGGGATTATCTGATGTTTTACCCCAATAAAAACTATAAAGAATGGGAATATCATGGGAATATAATTTAATATATGAGCTATGGTCAATACTCATGGTTAATAACCATTAATAGGGGCTAGTCATCCAATGGTTCATAGGGATTTATAATAACCAATTTAAGGATCCTTATTATGGATGGGATGACCATCAACCATATAGTGAGTATTGACCATGGCTCATATAGGGATTTGATGGGATATACCCAATATGGTGTCATCATTGCCGTGGCAAGCTCGGAAATCCACTCACGAAGCTGATGGCGGTTCGTTCGCTGGGAAATCATGGCACTTTATTTGTGGATGTTCCATTGCTATCTTTGATGAACCTGGAGGGTATATATATATATAAATGTCCTGAAACTGGGGGATTTTGAAGATGACTTGAAAAAGTCTTTGTTGGAGATGAAATATACCAACTATTATCGTTCAAGTTGCTTTACAGATCTTTACAGTATTAACTTTACAGTGTTATTTATTGGTATTTCATTGCTATATGAGTTTTTCAAGTATTTGTTTATCTTTCTTGTTGAGTGCTGCGAAAAAAAGGATATGTACCAACCCCTGATTTTTCACTGATGGGGATCTAAACTTCTCTCGTCGTTTTTTGTCACTGGAATGATGAGAATTGGATTTGGGGAATCAACCATAATTCTGGGTAAATTTGATCACGACCTCACTGGTCTCCCTCACTGGAATCATGGTTCATAAGGGAAATCATCCCCAAATGGCCCAACAATTCAGGTTAGTGAAATATGATAATTTACCCACATAATTTTCCCAATATTTCGACAAATTTCAGGTCAGTGAATTATGATAATTCAGCCAGAATGGGGATATAACCAAGAGACATGGGCATGTTTTGCGAGAAACATGAGACTTACAGGAACATACTGGAACCAATTGATGATTTGTTCTATTTTTATGGGGATTAATAAGTGGACATGATGATGACTACCACAACATCCATACACAGATATAAAACCGTATTATTAGTGTCTGTTTACAAAACACATATCCCATATTTGGATGATTTTCCATTAGGACATTCACCAACTTCGCCAACCCTTTATCATCAGGGTTTTGTATAACATTTGTACAACACCTTATTGTCAATTTAAGGCCCTTATCATTGTGATTATTGCGTAGAACATCATGATATCCAATATGATATCCATATGGAGGTTTCCATACATGGGGGTTCCCCTTTATCGCTGGATGGTTTTGGAAAAGCCCAATCTAACAGCTGGATGATTTGGGGGTACCCCCACTTGGGAAACCTCCATATAACATCCAATACTTTGGGCGCCTAACCTCCCACTCTTTGGGTTGACCGTGGCTTTCCCGGTGGGCCAGATTCGAGCTCTGGGCCAACGCGGAACGGCCCTTAACCTTCAAGCTGGCCATGAGGCGCGGGGATCCCGGATGATGGGACGGTCGAACCAGCTGTGATGGGGGTAATGATATGAAAAAGTGTGGCAGTAATGTCGGTTATTGATGATGATTTGTTATGTTTTTTTAAAATACTTTAGGGGCTACGTTTTTTTTTTAAAATGATGATCATTCACGTCTTTTTATTTTTGTATTCGCGCCTGTTGTGGGCTGGACATCCCTCGGCGCACAGACAACCTGTGGGTCAGTTGCCTGGGATAGTGACACGGGTCAAGCCGACATACTTACCAACAAGCTTTCAGTTGCTTCCACTACATGTGGGTATTGCCGGTATTGCTTTAAACACATGGGAGCATCTACACAACATTGGGACGCACAGATTGTTAGTTTTCACCAGGGGACAGTTTGGGGAAACATCGCACTTTTTTGTATGTTTACTGAGTTTACTGTCTCTATTTTCAAGTTCAGATTTGACAAAAAACAAACGTGGCACGTTTGATGACACATCGACCTTACTGGATCTATGTTGGGATTTTTCACATCACCAACACACGTGACGTTTTTACAGAGCGATATGCTCCAAACATACGCGTTAGTGATAAAGACAATGACATCTCGAACATGTCCGTGTACATATTTTTTTTGGATGTGTTTTGTCCATGTCAAGAAATACTTTAAAAAACACATGATTAATATAATATGACAATGACCTAGTCGCAGAAAATTCATGAAACACGGCCTTGGCCTTGTTGGTGCTGAAAGCATCATGGTACCATCCCGACCATGGTCACATGGTCATCATCCCCAAGTTTGGCAGCTTGATGACATTGGGTTTACCACATGACTTATTGGCATTCGCTGCATGGGTGGTATAAACATATACCATTTTAATTTATAGTGGTTAATGATGGTTAATGGTTAATAATCACTGTTTGGTGGTTTCAAAGATGACTTTTATTTTCCATTTCATTAATATGGGATGTCATCCCAACCCCATTGACGAACTCCATCATTTTTCAGAGGGGTAGGCTCAACCACCAACCAGTATATAAACTTTCTAATATATAACCAGGTTTATGATACTGTAGAAATATTTTCCAACTTTCACCTCAGTTTATATATAAACTTTCTATATAAACCCACTAATCTCACCAACCAGTTCTCACTTAGACTCGGGTCATTCCTCCAGGGACTCACCTAGAGTGTTGGAGTCTCGGAGTCGCGCAACGGCAGCGGAATGGCTGCGGAACGGCTGCCATGGCGCCAAATGCTGGAAGCATGTTGTGGATTTTTTAATATTTTTTTATGGAATCATGTGGATCATTTACACCCATGCTTCCATGTTGTGGGAACATTTATAACATTTATGATTCACAACATGGGTGTGTTTGTTGCTGGCTGTTGGAGCCAAATCAGACATCCAAACATGGACAGTTTGCCATCACCAGAGGTTCAATTCACCTGACCCAACGGATGAGAAAAGGATGATGATGATATCATAATAGTAATATACCCTCTCAAATCAAGTACAGTGGATCTCTTGACAACATCTGGGTGATGTTGTCCTCGCATTATGGTACATGATGAGTGAAACAGACACCCGAAGCGAAACCCTGCACGGTCCACGACAAGTTGGCCATGGAGAGTGAAGGTGCTGCATGATACTGCTGGAATGCAGCCCGTGTCAATCAGCTCATGTCACAGCCTCTCTCCGAACGAACAATTTGCAGCAACTGCTCGCGGAGGACCGACAGACTGTGATGTTCAGGCAAATGCAGCAAGGTCGCGCAGGCGGAAGCTGTGGGCAGACGTGATGGGCCACCCTTGCAAAAGCACCAGAGGCGGACAGCGGCACGAGATCCGAAGCAGCCAGCTACTCAATGCGACGAAGGACTGCCCGAGCATTTTCGCGCTGCAGCGCGATGCTAAAGGATTGCAACATCCGCTGCAGTTCAACGCTGGCCCCTTCGCCACTTCGAGAAGACAAAGCCGCAGCCAGCAGATGCCAAGTTTTCGAAGCAGTAGGGCCCCATCCACCAGCACAGCCTTCAACAACCAAAGGCAAGAACTGTAGGCCCTCGGTTGCGCAGGCCTGCCATGTGTTGAGGTGTTGACATTTGCGCTGCTCATAGTCAAGGGTAGCCCGCCCACCATCGGCAATGGAATGCGCCAACTGCCCTTGTCGCAAGCCAGAGGTGACTGCGAGATCAAACGCGGCAGGGCCGTGCAGGTTCCAGTTAGGTACCCAGACATCGGCCGGCCGTCGCTGGCTCGCAGGCTGGTGGACAACATGGGGAGAACCATCCTCGGCGCCGCCCTGATGCTCAGGCCGCGGTGGCAGCAGGTTTGCCTTTTCAACTTCGGGCTGGAGGCCCGCGGTTTTGGCGCGAGCAGCCAGAAGGTTCCGGAGCTGGTTGTGCCGTTTGACTCGGTCGCCTCCACAAGGGCACACCCGGGCATGGTCCCCATATCTGTCAGCGGTGCCATCGCACAGCGGGCAAGCGAGGTCGGAATCAGCAACGGGCAAGCGCAAGCGGAGGCGCACCATGATCCGAAATAGCGGTGTCACCACATGCAGACCCAGGGCTGGGCTGGGAACAGCATGAAGCCAAGCCCCCGCGCCGGGTTGCTGAAGAAGTTGGAAATGGGCCCGGTAAGCTTCCTTGCCAGCTGCAGGAGCAGCCAACTGCGTGACCACCACACGGTCCAGCGCCTTGGACAAAACTTGTTGTCGTAAGGAAGGCGGCGCGGGGACAGGGAAGTGGTCAGCAGCCGGGAGCTGCGAATTCACGAGCTGGATGGCGGCAGCAAATCCACTTTGATACGCTGGGTCGATCTCCTGACAAAGGCTTGTGGTGGCAAACACGGATGCGGCGTACCCAGCGGCAGCATGAGTGGCAACAGCACGCAACCCAAGCCCTCCATGGCTGGTGGAGAGGGTAGCTTGAAGCCAAGCTTCGGCAGTGAGTGGTCCAGTGCAGGCAGTTTCCAAGCAGGCCCGGACGGCCGAATCAAAAGCTATAAGTGCCGGGGCAAGCCCAATGGAGGGAGTGGCACGGGTTGCATAAACCAGGCGGCAATATGAGGCACATTGGCGAAGGAGCAGCAAACTGGTTTGTGCATCTCCCAAATTGGCCAAAGCTTCCAAGAGGGGAAACGTCTTGCTGACCCTCTGAGTGTGGGTGTAGCCTTCACAAAAGGTGGCATCGCCGATAGGTGCTCCCAGCAATTCGAAGCCACCACTCTGGTTGAAGGGCATGTTTGCAGGAAAAAGCGCTAGGTCGACGGCGGCAGCCGCGCCGCCGCAGGCGACCAGCTCACACTTGGCCGGGTTCACCTGCAACCCAACCTGGCGGGCCGCTGCAGTGAGTCGGACAAGCCCGGCGCTGACTTGCCTGTAGCTGCCCGCAAGGCAGACATCATCCAAGTAGCCAACCACGAGTGGGGGCTGAAGATCTGGGGCCCCCCCACAACGAGCAGCTTGAAGTGCAGGGTGAAGGGCCAACGAAAAAAGGAGGGGGCCCAGCGGATCGCCTTGTTGCACCCCAGCTTCTGATGACAAAGGATCTCCATGAAACAAGAGTCGCGAGTGGTGCCCGTAGCACCATTCGGCCCAAGGGGAGAGCCCAGGCAGCCGCAGGCGAGTCTCGCGAAGGAGGGCTGCCCTATCCACGGTGTTGAAGGCGTTGCTGAAATCAATTTTGAGAAGCACTTGGTCAGGGATGCCGGCGTGCCGCTGCACCCACTGTCGGGCTGTGTGGACCACCGCTTCTGTGCCATGACGGGTGGCTACCCCAACCTGCAGGGGACACAAAAAATCCCGGGCTGGCACCCGGACATCATTGCAGAGGCATTTGGCTGTTAGCCGCCGCAAAGTCTCACCGACAGCGATGGGGCGGACGTCATCGGCGCCCTTGGGCAATGCATGAAGGGTGGCCCCGGCAAGGTGAGGGGCGACCTCAAGCAAGGCGTGGCCCTGCGCCAAGAGCATCACTACGTCCGCGAGGTTGACCGCCATCTCATCGCCGTGGGCAGAGCCCAAAGCCTCACGTAGGTGATCCAGTTGGCCCAGCCGCACTGCCGCGGCTGAAACTCCGGATGGCATGGACCACATCCTCCACCCCGAGCTCTGGCACGGCTGGCAATGGAGGCGGGCCAAGCGCGACCAGAGCAGGTCTGGCAGGCGTGGCTCGAGGGTGCTTGGCTTGGAGTTTGACTGCCACGTCGCCGGTGTTGTCCAAGAGAGGGGGGGAGACCAGAGCCGCACAAGCCCGGGAGAATTCGCCTTCAGAGGCAAGAGAGGCAAGGCCACAGCAGCGCCGCTGACGGCCGGCCAGGGCAGCTTCTTCATCCAAGCCCCTAGAACTCCGCGGGCGGCGGACACCGAGCGGTTCGTTCCAGAGTTCTTCCCGTTCACCGGAGAGCCACCGGGCACACCGTCGCTGGGTGAACTGGGCGGCCTGAAGTCGGTGCCGGTGCCCGCCGCGAGGGGCAGGTCGAAGCACTGCCTTGGGGAGCATGAAGAGGTCGCGCCAGGCTTGCAAGGTATTGGTAGCCGCAACGTGGCCAAGGGCTCGAGCAAGGCACTGGGCCCAGGCAGAGCGAGCAGCCTTGGGGACATGGCGAAGCACAGGGATGCGCTCGGCAAAGACTGTGTTCAAGTCCGGGCCGCTGGCTAAGGCCCCAGCCACGGCAGCAGGAGCAGCAGTTTGCCGAGCTGCGGGGCGGCAGCGGGGATGAGCCCCATGAAAGCGGGAAGCCACGAGCCCGCCACACACAGAGCAGAGGTCCAGCTGGTGCTGACTATCCCAGCTGATGCCAAAAAAATCTAGATCCTAATGCAAGGACCGATCGAAGAAGATGCCAACGCAATCTCCACAAGATTTTCTCACAAGGACCTGTGCCAGATCATGTAGGGACGCCGAGAGGATTTCGTCAGGACCTCTTGAAGAATGTTTCACAAGGACCTGTACAAGTGCACAAAATTATGCAGAGGCCTCTGGCAGCGTTTCGCGCAAGGGCAAGGAACTGTAAAAGACATTGAGCAAAATCTTCCTGCCAGGACCCCGGCGTCTTTTTTACAAAATCGTCAAAAAAGAACCTGCTGCTGCTGGAACGGGTGATGCCAGATGGCATCTGCAACCTTTTCACGAAAGGACCTCTGAGAAGCGTCTTCTGGACAGCCCGGGCCCACGGGCCTTACGGTACGGACCTCGGGGCCTACGCCCCCACGGGCCTACGGGCCCACCGGCCTACACGCCCACGGGTCTATAGTCCGGGCATGACATGGACGGAGCCCGGAAAAGAAAAGATGAAAAGATGGAAAAATGAACAGATGAAAAAATGAAAAGATCAAAAAATGAAAAGATGAAAAGATGAAAGGATGAAAGGATGAAAGAATGAAAGGATGAAAAGATGAAATGATGAAAAGATGAAAAGATGAAAATATGAAAAAATGAAGATGAAGATGGTGATGATTATGATGATCATGATGATGATGATGATGACGATGACGATGACGATGTTGCGGACGATGATGTTGACGATGATGAGGTACAGGAAGATGATGTTGAGGATGATGAGGTGGAAGGGATGATGATGTTGAGGATGATCATGTTGAGGAGGATGATGATGAGGATGATAATGCGGAACATGAAGGTGGGCGATGATAGGGTGGAGGAGGATGAGGTTGAGAAAGAGGATGATGAGATGATAATGATGTTGAGGATGACGGTGATGTTGGGGATGATAATGTTCAGGAGGATGATGAAAAGGATGATAATGTGGATGTTGCGGGATGAGGTGGAGGTTGATGATGCTGAGAGTGATGAGGTCAAGGGAGTGGAAGATGATGATGTTTAAAATGATGATTTTGAGGCGGGGGAAAAGGAAGATAATGATGTTGAGGACAATGATGTTGAGGAGGACCGATCCCAAAACCGGGACCCACACTTTGTGTGAGCCTGCACAATCGAAATACACATGGACATGTCACAAGTCACAAAAGCAATTTTACGCGGAACTTTACAGGCATAAAGCTTGAGACCAAGAGGAAACCAAACTCGCGCGGCAGACTTTCTGCGAACCTCCGCGTTCGAAATGCACATGGACATGTGACAAGAACCGTTTTATCCGGAAATTTACGAGTCAAAAACCGCAGACCAAGAGCAAACCAAACTCGGACCGCACGTTTTCTGCGAGCCTGCGCAGTCAAAATGCACATGGACATGTCACAGGAGCCATTTTAGAGCCATTGCGCATGAGACTTTACAAGAAAAAGGGCGAGAACCCAGACTGAGCACCTCGATCAAACACCAACCGGCCTCAACTCTTACCATAAGAACCCCTGAGTGTGGGCACGCTGCTTAAGGAAAACGGGGAAAAAATCTCCCCAACTGATGTGATCATCAGCAACCAATTCGAGGCCCCATTTGGCCGTCACTTCTGACCATGCTGCTCCGCTGGAGAATCTTTTCTGAAATGCACCCGAGCGGTCAACCTTTGGCAGCACCCCGCGAGATGAAACTAACCGTCGATGTTTGACTACATCATGCTGGCGGACAAGGGGTCAGCCCTGCTATTTGTTTATCTGCCCTGTTGATCTTCCTGATCAATCAGCGTATTCAAACTGATTTCATGGTAACTAGTTGTCAATTCATTTCAATCAGCTGTCAACGCTGACGAGAAAAAGAAATACGGAACAAGTCACAGGGCCAAAGCTTTGCAGCAACAAAAGCTAAACTTCTAAACGAAAGTGCACAGTGGCAACGCTTTGCAGCACAAAGTTGCAAGCCACAGGGGCACAGTTTTGCAGCACAAAATTGCAAGCCACAGGGGCAAAGATTTGCAGCACAAAGTTACAAGCCACAGAGACAAAGTTTTGCAGAACAAATTTGCAAACCACAGGGGTCTAAATTTTCCAACAAAACGGTTGCATGCCATGTATGGACAAGGACAAAGTTGTGGCTTGCAACTTTGCACTGCAAAGTTCTGCCCCTGTGGCTTGCAACTTTGTGCTGCAAAGCGTTGCCCCTGTGGAGTTTTGTTTTTTAAGCTGTGCTCTGTAACGTTTTTTTATCTTCAACATTGACAGCTGATGTAAAATTAGCATGAAATCATCTTATTCATCAATCTGCCCTTTTGTGGGCCCTTCTCCTTATCTGATAATCTATCGGTCTAGTTTTTCGCTATCGATCCGGGATCATACAGAGTCTTGGCGGGAAAGTGAGAGCGAGACAGTCCTGCACGGCAATCTGGCTTACAGGCCCACCTACGATCCTCCACGGGCCCACGGCACGGGCCTACGGGCCTACCGGACCACGCCCTCGCTTACGGGTTATGTGCGGGCCTTACGGGCCCACGGTACGGGCCTGAGGGGCCCGGCCGGGGCTCTCCGGACCTCTACGAGGGGATCCCACCATCACCTCCACCAGATCTTCTGTTAACGACTTGCGCATGATCATGCAGGGTTTTTTGATTGGGAATTTGGCAAGATCTCCACAAGAACCAATGCACGCAATTTTTTTACAATGAAAACGCCACAGGACCAGAGCTTGAAGAGCCCACGACGTAGACTTTGGTGTGAGCCTGCGCGATCGAAATGCACATGGTCATGTCAACCGAGCCATCGCACTCAAAATTATAGGAAACATGACCCCGGCCAAAAATCGCGACGCACAATTTGTGCGAGTCCCCACAATCAACCAACACTTCGACATGTCACAAAAGCAAGTCTATGTGATTCATGCCAGTGTCTTTGAAGTACCCCACACTTGGTAAAAATTTTGGAAAAACGAAAAAAAAACTAGACTCTTTGGAAGGGGGGTGGTCCCAGCCAAGACTTTCTGATGTTTTTGTTTTGTTTTTCCAAGTTTTTTTTTGGGTTTTGGTCACCTTCAGCGATCTGCACATTTTTGTACGCTGGCCGTTCGGTGTCTTCACGCGTTCAAGTTTGCAAGAACCAATCGTTTAACCACTGCAGCTTCACACCGTTGTTTAAAATCATATTGGAAATTTGGATTTTACATTGCTAATTTACCTCCTGAAAGCTGGGCCCGAAGAGCCCTGCATTGGAAACCTGCCGGTGCACCCGTTGCAGGACATCCTCGACATGACTGGATATCAAAATTTCAATCGTGCACCAGGCATCGGCACACGGATAATTGGTACACTCTGGCATCCAACACGCGAATTGTGGGCACCCTTGACGGAAGATTTCGTTACTTTTGCTTCCGGCCGAGCCCAATGAAGAACAACGAGCAATTTGTAGGAAATCCTCACCAATTCTTTCCAAGTTCCTGCGCCCAATACGGGGTTACTGGCCTGTCACCAGGTGTGTTTGGGGGTGTTTGTTTGTTTTTTATGTTGAGGGAAAATTGCTCTAGAGATGTGGGGTTTATACATTTTAAAAACAACGTTGCACTCTTTGGCAACGCATTTGCACTTGTTTGCTTTGTCGTTTGTGTTTAGTGACGTTTAGTGGTCATGATTGTTTTGGCTGAAACTATGTATCCATGTAGGACATTGGGGGAGCTCAACAAAAAAATGCGCAGTTGTGGTTGCTGTTGTTACAGGAGCAACAAATTTGGTTTTGGAAAGAAGGCCTCAGTATATTTTGCAACAAGGAAATGAAAAAAATGCAACAAAAAAAGGCGGTCACAACATCCCCGCTCCGTTTTCTTCAATGCACTCAATAATATTTCAATATCTCTGTGATGATCCAAAATTGTGAAACAGCGCACTCCCACAGCCTACCACTCTCATACAAAAAGGGTTCAGCACATAAGTTCTGTTTTACATTTTTTTGGCCAACCACGTTCTAGTTAGAAAACGGTTTAGCACCCAGGTTCTGCGTACAAAACAGGTCTAGCCATTTTTTTCCTTACAAAGCAGTTGGGTTATGCACCTCCTATTTAAATTCTATGCATCCCTTGTTTACGCTACAAAATCGGGAGCATACCCCCCAAACGTCTACAAAATGTGTTTGGGATACATGGTATGGCTTTGTTCTTCCGGCAACAAAGTCCGTTTTACAAAAGGATACAAAAAATAGCACATAAGTCTGCTTACAAAAATTCCCTGGTCGTTCTGCTTACGGAACGGTCTGGCAACCAAAGTTTAATTGCAACCCAATTTTGCAACCAAGTTTTGCTTACAAAACGGTCTGGCAACCAAGTCCTTCTTACAAAGCCGCGGAGTTACGCGCCTCCTGTTTGTACTTTATGCACCCCCTGTTTATGCTACAACATGGGGCACGTACCTTTCAGCGTCTACACAATGGGTGTGGGATAGATAGCACAGTGTCCGCAATTGTAGAACGCAGAAAAGTTTGGCACACAAATTGTGCTTACAAAATTTTCCTGCGACCAAGTTTTGCTTACAAAACGGCTTAACATTACAGTCAATTACATGACATCACATCAATCACATGACATCACATCAATCACATCACATCACATCACCTCACCTCACATCACATCACATCACATGACATGACATTACATTACATTACATTAAGTTATGTGACACTAAATTAGGTAACATCCCATGGATTGAATGGCATTACATTGCGAAACATTGCATTACATTCACCACACCCCCGCTGATATCACCTTGTGTGGCATATCTGTGTGTGTGGGTGTCTGTGTCTGAGTCTGTGTGTGTGCGCACGTGGACCCGCAAACACGTGCTCACAGATGAAACCCAGATGATCCCAGCGGCATGGTCGCAGCCGGGTTTGAACCCAAGGGGTGAAGACAGAGGAGGGGGGGAGGAGAGGAAAAGGGAAAGGAAAGTGGGGGTCACAGTTCGACATAATTAATCATGCCGAACAGGGGGTGGCAAAACAAGTTCGACGTGAAACATCACGGCAGCTGTGTCCACTTTCCGCCCAAATCATTGTTAAAGCAAAACCAACTCCAACTAGCAAGCTACATTCCGTGACAAATATAATTTGTAAACAAAAACAAGCACTTGAACTTGAACACGGTCAAAAAACAAACATCTGTTCATACGTCAGCATTTATCCGGTTGAGGAAAGAAAGTTGACGCAGTATTTTTCTTAAATTTGTTTTAGTCGGTCAGCCCATTTCAGGTCGTTTTCTTCAGGAGCACCTTAAATGTTGTTGCCACTGCGAAGTAAATGTCCAGGAAATGCATCCGTTGGCCCAAGAACTAAATGTAGCAACCTGCCGCACGGAGGAATAATGTTTGGTTGCCCAATGTTTTCCCCACAGTTCGCCAGGAACGTTGGTCCCTGCGGTTCTCATTTTTGCATTAATTCCCTGTC